CCGAATGGAAATACCATTCTGAAGGGACATTTTCACAAATAAATGTTCATAAGTCCGAAACTTGACTAGTTAGGTATAGGTATGATATACATAGAAAGAAAGCAAATTTCAGCAGCTTTCCGAATTTTCAATAATATACAGGGTGTTCCATTTAAAATAATCAAATTTCAGCAACTTTTTCAAGCAAACGAAAAAACTGTATTTTTTTACCACCCTGTATTGAAGTAACGGAGATTAGGCTGACGTGTGGGAAGTGTCCAAGTATCACCTAACTTCAAACCAAATTTCGATATCATAGTACTTCTTAACTAAAAGATATCGGCATTTTTAGAAGTCATGATTTTCGAAGAAAAAAATTCAAATTCAAATTATACTTGAAATTGGTTTAATTCTGCTATTTCAAGGCTTTCAAGGACTCCGAATAGCCATAATATTTCCTAGGACCATAACAGTCGATGGCGTTGACACTAACGCAAACTTCTGTTCTTAAATGATTTTCATTTCGTTAAAGAGTTAACAATGATTTTTGGGTCATTCAAATGAAAAAGAATATTCAATAAATAAATTATATTTCAGACTAGATTCAGAAAAGATAAATAAGAATGAATTATTTTAAATTTGTTGTCTATTGAGAATAGGCAGAATACGCCAAATTTTGAGCGTCTTCACCATATCCGAAAGCTCTAGCGTAATGCTGACTCTCAGGTGGAGCTTCCCAAGGTCCATGGGCAGCAACTTGAGCATGTGCGTTGTTTTCTGCGATTTTCTTACACAATTGGAAAATCGCTAAACCAGAGGATATAACAAAGGAGAAGAAGGAAAGTTGTAAAGCATTCCATGCTTTCAAGATAAGAACTCCTAATGCTAAAGGTACTACGGTAATGGCTTTCAGTAGGACAAACACCAGAATTGGAATGAGGATCTTCTTCAGTTTGGACTTACGACCTGAAAAAATGTGTGCATTAGAATACTGTAATATGCAATATGTATTATTTCATACAGAAGTGGCACTCAAGTACTTCTAAAAACAACAGTAATCTCGAAATAGTTAAGTATATTTCAAAACTTTAATCCTGAGGAAACATGCAGTTTGAAACATACAAAAGGAATACATCACATTATTCTTTACAAGGCAAATTGAATGAAATGTTCAAAAATATCATTTTTGAATGGATAGTCACTCTTGATTTGAAAATTCATGGATTACAACCTCTAGTCTGATAAAACAATGAATTTATTCAGTTTGGCTATTCCACATAATAAAGTGCATGTTTCAAAATTCAAATCCGGTTATATATTCTCGTGTGTTCTCTGAACACACGATTCAGTTCATTTTGTCAGATTTTACTTTGATACAACTATGATTCACAGTTAATAGCCCGAATTATTGAAAACTACTGATAGAATTCAGGTTTTAAAAACCACCCTCAAAATATTTTTATTAGGTAGATCATAATTTTTATACCATAAATGAATTTCTCAATCTTCCCGTAATTTTATTTCTCTATTACATAAATTTAATGAAGCTGGAGTTGAATGAATATGCTTTCAATGATTACTGATGATTTTTATTCGAAATATATAGTGAAAAATTTATTTATCGAATAACTGTTAATAATGGTATAACGAATAATCGAAAAAGATTATCTGAATGGATCATTCGAAAAACATTCCACCAGATATCAAAAATCATAATTATTGTTTCATTTTGATATGCTGGATGAAACTTCCAAAGACAGTAGTTGCAATCGATTCCAAATTTTTCATTTGTTGTTTCTCTTCTCAAACTATTGGATTTTAGATATTCAGTCGATGTTCAATAAAAAAAATTCAGTAAGGTAACATACCTTCCTCCACACCTCTATTACCAAACTTCAAACTGAAGTCCAATTCTTCATTATCCAGATTTTTTGCTCCTAATGTTACTGAACCTACAATTGGTAAGTTGATGGTAACATCGTGCGTTTTGATGTAATTTTCAATTTTATCCTCAACATCTCCACTTCTGGCAATATTTCCATCATTGACGCTGATATCGTTTCGACTCACTTCTGTATCTTCGGATACCTATAAAAAATAATGATATTGATAAGTGGTAACTTGCAAGCATTCGTAGTCTACTTGAAAATTGTCTTTTTCGAGAATACTGTTCAGAAAGCTGGCAAACTGGTCTTGTAAATACCCAAATGGGTCATCTTCAAAATCTATACTTTTCTCTTCGCGGTAGGACACCTTTGCTGGAGAGGCACATACTGAGCCAATAATGCAAAGTAAGAAACAACTCCCAAAAATTTTCATCATGAAAGAAAATGTAGAGTGATCTTGAAAAGTATATGCCCTAGCATTTTATACTCTTCTTGAAGGAAGTAGATCAAGAAACCATTGAATTCCGTTCTGATTTGGTGAAGTAAATCGCTCCAAAAAAGCATCCGGAGCTAGCGCTTCATCACGAATACAAATGAAGTCATATTTTCCTGAATGGAAGGTGCCGTATACGTTTGGTATTCAGTGCTTTGCCTTATTATTCATAAGCTGCTGTACCTACTCAGCTTGATTAATTTATTTTCGATTTCTTTCAATCCTTTTGCAAGTGAAATTAGGGAAACAAAGAAAATAGTTTTCATTGTGAATTGGAACGTTGGAGAGAGTTTTATCTCATCGCTCCACTTTTTTAAAATGAAGTATTTGTGGAACAATTGCAGTTATTATGGCATTGGTAAACAAATTTCACTAGAAATATTTGATGTCTAGGACATTAACAAGTGAAATCAATTTTAAATTGGTTCATTCCTTGGAAATTTTCGGTATTAGGAAATATTATTTTATATATTTGTGGTATTATAAAACCCTAATGCACTTGCTGCCAGTATTTCCAGCATATGCGGTCTCAGCCTTCGACATAACGCGGACCTGAGAGTACTTCATTACAAACTACGGTATTGACGAGACACAGGTTTCGTCCTACGCTCCAGGGGGAATTTAAATCCATTGTGGAGAACAAGAAGTACCAAATTTATTCGAACAATTAATTTTCTCTGTTAGCTCGGGCCTGATGTAGTCCTCATCGACGAGTTTTCAGCTTCTGGCGAGACGAATAGCGTCCGAATAAAGGAGAGAAAATGAATGAAACTTCGGAATTTTTTCTTTAAATTTTGTAGACTCTATCCAGGCCACTCTGTCGAGATGGTTGTCCTGATTATTGGAGTTCTAGGTGAAATAATTCTTCCCCTACTCTCGAATCTCAAAATCATGCAGGCTTGCCGCAATGAGGCAGAATTCTTAGCCGGACAAATGGAGAAGGCTGTCATTCTTGTGGACACCGCGCCATAACTTCAGTCACCATAGCCTCACTACGATAGCCTCACGAGTCAGCTCGCCGTGAGACTTCGAGATATAACCTCCGCCTTTGCAGTTAACGTACTTACCGCAGTAATAGACGAAACTTTGGGTACTTCAGATTCCATTCGACTACGGCATATCAATCCGGATTCTGTTTTTTTTATAGCTGTTGATGGTTTGAGTGTTTCGAAATGAGCCAAATCCAATAAAAGTTCATCGTGCCAAATGTATACTTTCGAAAAAAGTGTTCAGGTGGCAACAGTGCTTAGAATTAGAAGGTAAAGTAGAACAGTAAATTTTGAATATCAAACACCCACCTCGACCAAATATTTTTTTTAAGAGAATGTATTTAATTGAAGTTACACTGATTCTGGAACGTCACATGACTGAGGACTGCAAATACTCATAATGCTTTTTAGGTGGCTCGTAAAGTTCTCAACATTGCTTAACCAGAACTCGAGGCTAATGACCAAAGTAGTTGATGCCAATGAAACAGAAAAAAAAAGAAACCATTATTTTGTCCAAAGTCTTCGTTGAAACAAGGAAAACAGACAAGGAGCTTTCTCAGATATTTTTCAGCAAGACATTGCACGCTATCACATATTTCGTTCAACAACTCGCTATTTGAGTACTCCAAACATTGAAATACAGGGAAGTGTGATCGGTACCATGCTTTTCATTATTTTCATGAACGATATTTTAGAAATCGTAAATAATGACAGCAAAACTTCTCAAATCACCAATTATGGTGATGATACAAATTTTTTAGTGTCAAGTCACAACTATGTAAACTTAATTATAGAGTAAATGGGATATTCGGTGCATTCCATTTAAAACGAGTTACCCTGAATAACTTTTGGTACATGATTTTCAGGAAAAATACAGGGGGACATATTTTGACATATTCACATTTGATGTTACTTCCCCTATCGCACCCCCAGAGCATATGTCACCGATTTTTTTTCAATGGATCACCCTATATGGTTTCGTATTATCAGATGCTCCATGATGAGCAGATTTCAAGAAAGTATAAAACATACGGTCTGAAGCTTATGGTTCGGGAGCTACAAATATTCGTTCTAGAGACAAATATGGAAGCAAGAAATCAGAAAAAGAGATTTTTGTTAATTCTCAAATCAAAATCTGATGACTGGACAATGGGAATGAAAAATGTCTATAGTGAATGTTCGAAAACTTCTCTGTTATGCTTCATGATATTCTCAAATGACTTCAAATGAGCACATAGAAAGAAATCTACAGGAGTTAGATCCGGAGACCTTAGTGCAAGTCCTCTTACGTCAATCCAGCGACCAGGAAAATGATCATACAAAAATTGTCGTACTGGAGCTGCATAATGGGGAGATGCACCATCCTGCTGAAAAACTATTCCGTTTTCGATTAAATTTATATTCCTCAATTGCCATATTGATATACGGTATTATTCGATTCTCTAACATATCCAAATATCCAATACTCATTAAGGATCCTGAAAACATTTGTACGACTGATTCCTGATTATCGAAATAACTTGTAAGATATTGCGAATTTTCCATTAGTCCGACGTGCCCTAAAACTGCAGTACAAATAGCTTCATCGTTGACAACTTCTGAACGGTTATGCTTTTTATTGTTAACAGATCCAGTTTTCATGAATTCGTTCAATAATTCCGAAACGTATTTTTTTATTTTTCCTGAAAATCATTGTTCCAAAAGTTGACGTCATTTTTTATTTTTTCTGTACCGAAAGTTATTCAGGGTGGCTCGTTTCAAATGGCACGCACTGTATATCTATGAGAGTATCTATTTGAAAATAAATTTAGATTTTTGGAAGCTAGACCAATCCTAGGAGCAATGTAAATATATCTTTTCCGATTCATAAATCGACAGTGTTAGAGAGACATCCAACTGTAAAATTTTTCCATAAATTAACACTGAAATTTAAAATGTTATACAGGCTGAAAAAATTCTAAACGGGTATCAAAAAGCTTTTGATCAAGTTTCACTTCAGGAATATCAAGAGAGTTTTCAAATCTTTATGCAAAAATTATGTGACGTTGTTCCATTTTATGTGTTCTTCTTCAAAAAATGTAGAGCATTCTTTGAAATATATTAATGTTATTATTATTATTAATAATGGGTCCACCGCATTTTGAGAATTCTTCCTGCCGATTACAATTTCCACATCTAAGTATTTGTTCCATCACATCTGCCGTGCACGGGAAAAAACCGGTTATACGCATTTTTGATGAAGAATATTCAATTGCTCTATTCCAAAACGACAATGGTTACCAATATTTATTACCTGTAACTTGTTATTTCAATTGTTCAGTCCTCAAGTTTTTGAAAAATTTTCATTTTTAACCGATACTTTTTTATTTACCAATGTTAAAAATGTCTATGAAATTACAAATGTATTACAAAACAAATGATCAGTGAAATTACAAATCAGTGTGTAGCCAATACAATATTCGATACGATTTGAGTAATTTACCAAAAAATATTTGGAATCCTACTAAACCAAGTCGCGATTTTATAATCATTATCAAATAACCCTATCACAGGTATTGTAATTATATAAACCATTTAGCAATTTTTATGATAAGTTTTCAAAATGTACATGGTTTGTCGTGTAATCTACTTCAATTTTTTGTAACATTATAAATAATTGTAGGTCTTATTGGTCGCAATGCGATGATCAGAGTTGTGATAGTGTATTTTTCAGTACAGAAATGTCAGTTAGTGAAACTTAGTTATATAAGTGGTTAATCACTAATGATTTTCGGTGTCAATTGAATCATGTGTACTCGTATGAATAGAGATTCCCTTGTCACCCGAAACAAATGAACATTTACGAATTCTAGGGAATGTCCACTAATTCATGTGTTATATATATCAGAAAAACTCATCGCGAATTTGATTGGCGACAATATTTGAATTTTGTTATCACTATCATCTGAGGAAATGGATACGATGAATGGAAGTTTAGCCTCGAATTAAAATTTTTAATATGAATTTTCAACATCAATTGTTGGTACATTGCGATAGCTTGGGGGTCTTGACTTTAGTCGCAAGTTGGAATCGTAATCACAGCTATTTTTTTTGTATTGAAAATCATTCGATCATAATTTCTATCATTGTCGATAAAGTAAGATTTGTTCCATCCATTGGATTCTAATCATTTTTTCAAACTTTACTATCCTATCAATTCTGATTATATCTAAAAAGAACTAGATATCTCCCCATTTCTGATCAATAACTTTTTAGTGATGGAAAATAAATGCATTACTATTAGTGTATTGTTTTATGTTAACATACCTTTTAACGGGTGTTAGGAATTACGCGCACTGCGTACGCTGTCATTATTTATTTCAAATTGCCTTAACTTTTTTGACAGTACACTTTTGGTTCTTTTATCGAAAAAACCTACACACCTTTTCCAGGTGAAAAAGGTACACTTCCTCAACAATGCTGAGGTGAGGTGAGGTGAGGTATTTACAATTTTCTATATCGATGCATATTACTTATCTCCTAGGGCGCTTAGTGAAGTTGCTGAGACCATTACAAAAATTATGAGTATGTGGTGGATCTCGCCAAAATAAAAAACATTTTCCTATAAAATGTTTATCAAAAAATCATTTTTTTTTTTGGTTTTCTTCATAAGTTTTTTTGCAATTTTAGTTACTTTCATCTATGATGCGGCGGCTAGACGGTTGTATTAAAGCCGAAGAGGCCATTTCCAACACTTAATTTAGTGCAATTCGTTAGTCTAGATGTTGATGTTATTTGATATTTGTTGTTATTGTCACATAATCAGTAATGAAAAATTGTAAAAATAATAATTTCCAAAAGAAACATTTAATTCCCCATATTATTCCTTTTGAGGTCCAAGGATATGCAATTAGGTCGACTTTTTTTTTAACTAAGCAAAATACAAAAAAATTCAAGGGACAAAAACGTTGTATTTCTAATTGATT